TTGTTCGTTAAAAAATCTATGACCATATTATATGACATAAAGTACGATCAACGCGGTGCAAATGCCTTAAAGCATTTTTTGATCAGTTCGCAAAATTCTTTGTTCTAATTGGTCAATTAAACGCTTTAAAGTATTTAAAATTTATTTATAGCGAGATTTTGACCATACGGCAATGAGATGAAAAAAAAACCAATATTTTAATCAAATTTAGATTGTTCCATCTTTGGATAAACTATGGTCGATATTCATAGTCTCTCTTTTTTAAAATCTTAAATAATGTCTTAAAATAGCTAATATGATTCTCTGATTGGTTCGTGACATAAGACTGTACTTAAGACAATCTTAAATAAGAACTGACTATGAATACCAGCTTATGCTGGTATTCATTTACCTACTGCATAAATAAAAGAGTACAAAACATTAAGAGCATAAGAGAATAAGAGAGTAAAATAGAAGCTGAAGTTTATCGAAAGGATGGAACAAGAATTCCAGCCTAAGAGTTCCATTTTTCTTTGAAAATATTAACTGTAAGAGTGAATAAAAACGAGTTATTCCAAGAAAATTATAACATGAATACTAGAAAGTTTGTGGGTCATCGCTGTGTTTTTATCCATTGTTAATAATAAATATTAAACACGGCAATAACTTACAACCTTCTGGTATCTTATCTTTGAAAATAATGCGTAAAAGCTTAAAAAGCGTTATTATAACATGAATTTCTTAAAGTTTTAAAATTTAGAGAGAAAGATAATTCTGTGTAACAATTAGTCGAAATTGTTTTTAAATTAAAAGAAGTTGCTTATATGCATATATTACAAAACATAAAAGTAACTGGATAACCTGCAATCCATATAGAATATAAAAAATAAATGTATTAGTAGTGATAGCATATGAAAACACATGAAAAATTTAATACGAGATGTAGAAAATGTACTGAATGTGATACCACATGAAACACACGTAAAACATTCAAATTTAATACAGTAATATTATAAATGTAATATTTTATTATTCATTTTAATTTTTATCCATATTACAATTTCATAGTTAATTTTACGCGTAATAATTCTCAGTCAGAATTTAACTAAAATTATTTGAAATTCAACGACAAATAGTACTAAATGCTTAACTAACACTTCTTAATTTGAATTTGCAAAAAATTTCTGTTCCCAGTAAGTCATAGTTTGGAGACTAAATTATTATGTAATTTTCTATTCCTATAAATCAAAATCGATCCTGACCTCAAAGAGAATAAGAATAATATGTCTATCATAAAAAATATGTTTAAAAAGTTACAAGTATAGTTATTATAAACTCAAAAGATACAGAGAAACCCAATTTAATATAGAGTTATTTAATATAAAGTACTTAATATAAAGTTTGAACGCTATAACTTATTTTTTTTTCTTTTCCCAATCCCATCTTTCTTCTCCTTTACGGAAAAATTTCATTTGCAAGATTGTATCGATATTTAGGTAATTGTATTTTCCATCTTGTGAATCGCTCACGGGTAACCACGTATTTGTAACAGGCGTTGGATTTCTAAATCATTTAATTGAGAATTAATTATAAATACGAAATTAATGAAATTAAAATATCATATGTTTTTAGAAGAATATATTTACTTTAGAAGAATATATTTACAAGAAATTAAATTTCTCATACCCTGTTTTAGCAAAATCCGTCCACATTTGTGTTAAGCATTTTATCATCTTATAGTCTTCTGAATCAATTGCAGGTGATGACATGCCGAAATCTTTTAACATATTAAAATAAAACAGATAGACCAGTTCCTCAGCATGTGACACACCTGTCAATTATTTTTGTTCACTTTTAATTAAATCTTTAAATTACATAACTTTATAAATATTTTAAAAGACGATTTATTGTTTAAATTAAATCTATAAAACAGATTGTGTTGTTTTAAAATCGCATAAAAATTTAGAAAACATTTAAAATCAATTTTTGTAATTACAATATAAGCAGATATATTTTATAAATAAAGATAGATTTTTAGATAGTCTTAATTAATTAATAATACCTGGAAATTGAATATTGTATATTTTTCTTATAAAAGAAGAGTCACTCTCGTATGAAAATTTATACAGATACGTCGCTTTCTTGTCATTATTATTCAGCTTTGTCTGAATATCCACTGCTTCCATTATACCACGATAGAAGAATTCATCGCTGAGAAAATCAACGTAATTTGTTAGAGTTTCTTCTGAAATTGCTTTGTCACCAAAATATAAAGATCGTAATTCCTCGACTGTAATTGGTAACGTAGATAAAGTTTCAGGCAATATAGCATTTTTGAAATCAGAATCGATTTTCCTAAGCTTTTCTTTGCTTATATCTGAAATTTTAAAAACATTTTAGTTTTGTCCGCTATAGATCATATGATAATAGATGTTTTTACAGCTTTTCTTTTTAAATTAAAAAATAATTAATTTCTGTACATTTGTCAAACAGAGAGAAAATCTTTTGTTAAAACATTATTTAAATTTTTTATACAATGAGATGTGGTCCATTAAAAAGAATGCGACATATGATAGATATGCTATTCCATAAAAAAATTTGAAACATTAAAAATGTACTTAACGAAGTCAAAAATAAAACTCACGCCCTTTCCAGTTACTGCATGGAAGAAAAGATCCTTCGCAACTGGTAAAACCCAGAAGGAATGGTACCTTAACACCGCGGTGTTTAAACGTTTTTGGATCTTCCGGAAAAACTGGATTCGATGATTCGTGATCCAAAGTCGGTGAACATATTAAACTATATTGTAGATTCTCCTGCGAAGAAAATATTATTGAAATAATATTTTATTCGCACAATGTAGCCTGCATACTGCATTTATCGAACTTATATAATTACAATCATATATTCAGATAATTACAGTTTCCGTCAAGAGAGACTTTTGTTCAGTTTCTATCAGTTTTTTAGCATCAATTGTTTTGAGAAATTCATAAGCGACTTTTGGATCTGTAGTAGTTTTTCCGAGTATCTTCACGAGTCGAAGACCTTTATTCATCGAACGAGATTGTTTAATTAAACCCCAAGGACATGTTGCGACACCACTTTGTGATATCGCTTTATGAAATAGACCTAATAAATAATAATAACAAATTAGTTTCATACAATTATTACATAACATTCTTATTTTCTTTTCTTTGTAATGTATAAACTAGTGTTTGAGAGTTCTTGTAATCGCTGATTCCAATAATGATTTTGTAATCGACCTTACATTATTAAAAATCTCTCTCTCTCTCTCTCTCTCTCTCTCTCATATATATATATATATATAT